GCAGGTGGGAGACAATTTGCTCACAGTCATGTTACTTCTCACCTGTATGACTGATTCCTGTCCTTCCATTTCTTGCTCTTAGTTTGCTCTTTCTTCTTCCACTCGCCTCACACTGATTGTAGAAGCAAATGAATTACAGAGTCTCTGCATAAGCTGTTTTGTCACCTTGGGATCTGGTTGGGTTTTAAATATAAAGGAAAGGTTCTGAGCCGTTTTGCCTGCTTTATAGGTAACTACCGTTCTGCTCTCAATGATGCCGTCCGGGCGAAAAAGCAAAAGCCCACCCATCTCAAAGCAATCATAAGAGGTAAGAATTCATGCGTGTCTTGGAGCGCAAGGAACGTCATTTCAAAACAGCTTTGCACACTTTGGTTTTACTTGTTATGCTGTTCCTGCTACAAGGCCTGGAACAGACTGTTGTTGGATGTTGCTTTGTTTTGCTGCATGTTGCTGGTGTTAAATAACAGTGTTTATAAACCTTAAATTACTGTGAGTGGGCAGCATACTTTGTTTCTGGACAGCATTCATCTCAGAAAAAATGAAGTGGTTACTGCAGGAGATCTCTCCTCTTGTTTTGTTACTGCTGTTTCTCCCCAAAACAGAGCTCTGCGTTTTGCTTTGGAACTTCAGTCAAAAACCACTACCCTTTATGCTGTTTGCTTTTCAAGCACTATATCTGTCAAAGAGGCATTGGACCTCTTTCTGTAAAGCACAGCATAACTTCTGCTGTTTTCCACAATACTGGTTTTTGTTCTTTGTATTTTTCCCCCAGCATTCCTCACTCCATGGAAGTTGCCGCTTTATTTTTCCTTCTGAGACAGTTACTTCTATGTTAATGATAATGATAAAATTTTGCTTGTAGCAGACACTTCTAGCATCATTCTGCTGATTTCTGTGACTACATGGCAAATGATACAAGAACTGCTGAAATATTTTAGGTTTTCTTCTCAGCTGACCTGCTGGAAGTCTACGATTGAACATGACCCTGCGAGACAATACCGTGTGCTGCTGTGTGTGCCTCTAGGGCTAATGCTGTCTTTATAACCACCACTTTGTGTGGTAGTTGTATACTGACTCCAATACTAGAAACTTAAAATCTTAATCCTTCTAGGAGCTCTCTGTCACATGGAGCTAAAGAATTTCTCTGAAGCAATAGCATGGTGTGAGGAGGGCTTGCGAATAGATTCAAAAGAGAAAAAGCTTGTGGAAATGAGAGCTAAAGCTGACAAATTAAAGGTAAATATTAAGGCAGTCTAGCGTCTACAATGCTTGTCACCTGCTTTGTGTCCAGGAGCACTTTGGGATCCTTGGTTGGAGAGTGCTCCGTACAAGTGTCTGTGTAGTGTAATACCCCCAAACAGAACTGAGTGGTGGTTCCACGTAGTAGAAGAGAGATGTGTAGGGGAAGGAGCTGGAGGGGACCCTTCTGGAGACCTGAACTGATTTCTCCACTCGCTGGCAGCTTAGAGCAGTGATGGGCATTGACTTGCTGTGTGTGACGATGGTGCAACCTTTTCTTACATGTAGCGAGCTGAGGAGCGGGATGCAAGGAAAGCAAAGGTGATGGAGAAGAAAGAACAGTGTCACAAGGAAATTTTGCTTGCAGCAATAAAGGTGGGTCAGTGAAGGGGTGGGGCTGGGTTGGGTTGGTGGGTTTTTTTAAGAGCTCTGTTGTTCAAGAGGACCTTCTCACACAGAGGCTTTTGGGGGCTAGAGTCAAAAAAATGGGTTAGAAACACAATTCTGCTGATCTGTGTGGCTGTAGCCCCAGCTCCCAGGCCTGTTTCCTTATTTCAGTTAACAACTAATGCAGAATACAAAGCTAGTGGTAGGAGATGGACTGAGCATCCAAGAGAGTAGTCTGGCTGCCGGGCTGTAGCGTGACGCTGGCCCCATGAACCTTGCTTTCTTTGCTGCTGGTGGGCGATACTGCAGTGGAAGGGTAGAAGATAACAATTCAGTAGGCTGGAGGAGAGAATCAATCCTGGATCTTCTCCTTCCTCAGCCAGTGTTTGGGCTATGTTAGAATATTTGGGGCTGTTAACATAAAATCTGTTCTCCTGTTCTGCCAATTGTCTTTCCAAAGAAAAGAGTGAGCTTGCTTCGGTTCTCTGAAAGAGTGGGTGTTCTCAGGAGCTGGTGCATGTAGTTGCACCCTGAAGTTATGCCTGTTTGGTCTCAAAGAATAGGATTTCAGATGAATCCATTTCCCCACCTTTTTTCAGGCTCTTCTCTCAGCCTGTGAGCTCCTCTAGATTCCCACCTCTCCTTGTCTGTTTTAGGAGGAGGCTGGGTGTCTGGCTGAGATTCTGGATCCTGCTGGGAAGACCTGTCACCTGAGTAGTGCTGTAGGAAGGCTTTTGATAGCCTGTTTAAGAGCTGACTCATTAATGAGATGCAATTTGTCCTTTTACTGACTGCTAAATTTTTGCTCTTATTCTCCCCACCACACCCATTTGGTTTTTGGTTGGTTTTATTTTTTTTCCTTCCTCCCCTCCAGGAAAGAAATATCAAGCTGGTTCTTGAGCCCTCAGATGAAGAAGAGGAAATATCAGATGGCCTGGCTGAGATATCCTTAGATGGGTTCCACTCTGACAGCGCCACAGGGGCAAAGGTGCACTTAGATGCTGATGGCAACCTGAACTGGCCTGTCCTCTTTCTGTACCCTGAGCACGAGCAAACAGACTTCGTTGCAGCTTTTCATGAGAACTCCAGGTAAATGCACTGTCAGCAGCGTCCTTGCACAAAGGAGATGTTTGAGTAGATGAGAGCAGACAGCAAGCAAAACACTGCCATGCTAATGAAGTAGCTCCAGATTTCTAATCTCCTAGCTGACCCTGCTTTTGAGCAGGAGGTTGCACTAAATGACCTCCTTTCCAACCTGAATTGTTCTGTGATTTATAAGTGCAAAATCTATGAGGGCCAAAATATGAGGACGCAGAGAAACGTGCTATATCTAGCCAGTGTGATCACAGGGGCTTGCAGTGCAAGCTTAAACCAGTGGCCAGTAATACCAGTGACCCGCCCCATGCATGGATTTCAGAGGTTCATTAAGGCGCTGTTTGAAGCCCTCCAAATATGTGGGTCTTGTAAAAATGATTAAACTTAGAAATTATAAAAAGTTTCCAAAAGGGACCTCTTGTGACCACCAGGGGCCCCACGGTTTGCTTAGGGCTTACAGCAGGCGTGGCTGAAGTGCTGCAGACTTTTCAGACTATGAGCAAGTGGCTGGCAAGGTGAGAATTCCAATTTTCTTGATGTAAACTTCAGTTTCTGGTCTTGCAACGTTAAACAAACTTGGAATTTGTAACTTTTTAAATTTTTTTTGTGGGGAGAGAAGTATTCCTCAGATCTGTTAATAAGTTTAGGACTTAAAATTACAGTGCAAACAGATAGTAAAGTTGTGGTTCTAATGTGGTGGTGTTCACTATGCCTTTTCATGACCAAAAGAAGTGAAAATGGGTTCTTGGAACGAATTGGCCACCAATACTCCTGAAGAACTGTAATAAACAAGCCTCTGACACACAAGCGTATTCTCAGCACCCTGATCTGGTGAAGCGTGGTGCTGATGGGACCATTTAGAAGGAAAATCGATTTTAGAGAAAATGCAGGGTGTTTGTGTTTACATCTTTTTCAGTGTGAAAATGCAAAGTTGAAGATAGTTTGTTGTTGCACTGCTCAAGTTTGGAAGCAATAGCGTGAGTTACAACAGGGCCTTGGTCTGATTGGGCAAGCGATGAGTTTGAAGGGAAGAAACTATTTGTGATCTAAGCTTACTTTCAAGTCTATTGTCTAATTTGCTAATGTGTTTTTACCATCGTTCAAATGCAACTGTACAAATTATTGAAGCTGAACTCTTTGTCTAAGCTAACCAAGTGTGTTTTGGCTTTTAGGTTTATTGATCATTTAATGGTGATGTTTGCTGAGTTACCTCCTTGGGATTTAGAAAGAAAATACCTTCCCAGCAATCTCGAGGTGAGAAGTTTGACTTTCCTTCTATTTCAGGGTTGTTGTGCTGTGGTTGTTTTTTTTTTTTCTGGAGTGAGATAATACACAGGTTTGAGTGTATGAAACAGGTAACGATGCCATTGCTTTGTCATACGTGGGTGTGAAATAAGGATCTGGAGAGCTACATTTAGTTGTATACTCAAACATTTTCCAAATGTGCTGGCATGGACACAGAGTTCGTTAATGAAAATGAAAGTTGTCAGCCATTTAATGTTGCATTTGATAGAAGGTATTTATAGATGCTGCTTAGATTCCTATCTTTGTAATGATGATTAAGATTTAAACCATCAAGCTGGAAGGCTGCCTGTTTTTTTAACTGCGTTGTGAAGTTGCTCAATACAAATGAGAAAATATTATTAAAAAATTGGTTATTTTCAGAACTAACTGGAGGAACTTAAACACTTAAACTCGTCAAGACAATATATGTCTGTTAAGACTTTAGCAAAGGTGGGACGTGAGTTGGTTGTGGCTGCAGCAGGTTTTGAGGATTTTTCAGAAATTGAACATAGAAGGATACAGTTGTTTATTTTTCATTTTCCACTTCAGTGTCACATGTGCCAGGCAGCAGCGCAGCCCTTAGTGCAGCGAGCAGACAGGTCCAAAGGGACAGTGGCTGTGTATTTTACCAGATTAAAACCTGGAATTACAGCTCTGCATGTATGTATGGTCTAAGGCACGGTTGCTGGATCCAAATCTCTTAAATTTACTCTATTTTTGTTCAAATAGCTTTAAACCTACTCAGTTTAGCTCATAGTAGTCCTGCATTTCCCCTGTTAAAAAGCAGCCTGTAGATTTGGATTGCTGCTCTGTAAAGCACAGGAACAGCCAGCGTATTTTGCCTTCCTGCTGCCACTGCCATAAGAAGCTAAGCTGGTTTGTACTGGGAAGACTTGGAATTTACACAACAGAGTTCCTCCTTGTTGGTTCAAAGCTACAGAAGTTTGATAAACCTCTAGTAGATACATGTTGTGCTGTTACTGGACTTTTGCCAGCTTAGTAGTTTGCCTTTATGTGTCTTTAATAACCCAAATTTTTTCAGCTTTATTTTGAAGATGGAGAAAGAGCAGAAATGTATGAGCTGAACCCAGAACACACATTGCTGCAAGTGCTGCAGCACAAAAGGTGAGGCTGTACCTCTTTGTGTCCAGAGAGAGCACGAAGGCAAAAAGTGTGAGCTTTGGGCTTTAAGTGCGGGTGGTTCTCCGATTTAATAGTCCTAACTCTTGAAAGTGTAAAGCAGCACGACTGCATGAATTTTGCACCTGGCTTTAGTGACTTACTTTTTTTATTTCCCCCCAAAAAAACGAACGACTCTTTCCAGGACTGGATGGAGATGGGAAGGGGAGTTGGACTACACCCCAGCAGCAGCACAAAAGGGCTGTTTCAGATCCCATCTATGCAATACTACTTTAAAAAAAAAAAAAAAAAAGCAGCGGCATATAAAGAGAGCATGTTGAAGGTTAACAGCGTTCTCACTGTTAATAATGCTGCATGAGCAGCCCCCAACACAGCGTGCAGCACAGTTTCACTCTGAAATGGACTTTAAAGCGTTGTGCGGTTATTTAGAGAGAAGAATTTGCTGTTTGTGAAGCCCAAAAGTTCTTGTAAAGCCTGTACTGTTGACTTGCACCATCTCGTAACTAGCTGGAGAAAGCCGGCTGCGCAGCGCTGGCAGCGCGGTCTGTCACAGTGGAGCAGAGCTCTGGGCCCACTGCTGTGGGCTGTGTCTGAGCTGTCACTCCGTAAAACTCAGCAGCCAGCTTAAGCCCTCAGATTTCAGGCTGTAAGGGCAGCTGCAAAAGAAACCTCCTTCCAGGGGGAGAATAGCAGCTGTTTTAGTTAAAGGAGCTGTTGGGAGAAGAGCTGATTCGTAAAACACTCCTCGGATGTGCGTCGCCCTGGCTGCGAAAGGCTCTGCTAATCAGCAGAAAAGCTCGTCATCAGCCTTTTTGGGGGTCAGCCTTTATTGAGCTGGGCGGAGGTCACTCACTTTGCGTGACACTTGGCCAGCTACAAGGAAGCCAAAGGACTCTGTTTAATCTTTGCAGGTATTTTGTAAAGGCGGGCACTCCAACGGTGTTGGCGTTTGTAAAGCGTTCTCCTTTCTCTGAGAAGTACTTCTCTGGCAAGAAGGTGCATCGACTATAATGAGCAAGAATGAAACGAGAGGAATCCTGTGCAAGAGGCTGCTGTTTGTTATCCCAGCTACAGACTGCGAACTTCTGCTTGAACAAAAATACGTTGTGCGCTTCAGGGGAGAAATAATCTTGGCACACGGGGAAACTTCCAGGAAAGCAACGCAGGAGAACGAAGAGCTTACAAGAGGGGATTATTTGTTTAAAAGGAAATCCAGCTGGTTTGCAGAAGGTCTCCTCTACGACAGGCTGCATGTGGTTTTGAAATAAGCCTGAAGCAGTGCCAAACGCTGGCTGCAGTTGAAGCAGCGGCAGCTGGGAATGTACTTACCTGTGAAAAATCACTGATTTCCCTGGGAGGTGGGCTGTAGTTGCTGGGGTTTAACAGCAGTGCTCTGGGGAGATACCCGCCTCTTGCAGCGGGGTGGATGCGGTCAGATTCCTGCCTGGGATTGAGCAGCTGCTGGTTTTTTGCCGCTTGGCTCTGCTGCTGCCCAGGGTAAAGCAGAGCTCTTTGTTCAGAGCTACCTTACTTGATTGTCCTATATAATCTGGAAATAAATGTGTCTGTTCTAATTAGACTGACTTCTGCCTAATAAATGAGACAATATTTTTTCTCGCCTCATGAAATACTGCAAGAGAATGACAAACAGTAATTTTAAACCCAAACGTAACAGCCTTACCCATTACACTAACTGGTACAACCAACATACAGGGTCTTCTGTGCTTCTGTATTAGCTTTCAGCATTTAATTAAAGGTAGTTCTAAATCTCTCATTTCTTTCTCTTCTGCAGTGTCTCTGTGACTGCAGAAATACACTGCTGTTTTAGACACGGGGCATGGAAGAGCTGTTCGGCCATAAACACTTCTGCTTAGATCATGGATGCTGGCTTCAGCGAGCTCTAAAGAAAGCACTTCCATTTCGCTATTCCTAAATTTCCACACCATGCACAAATACAGTTAAAAGTGTCTCCATCTGAGGATGCTGAAGTTTAATCTCCAAAGCTCAGGGCTGCCTTACAGCAAGGCAGCACGATGGCTCCCTTTCCATCGCTTTTCCGGAGTGCCAGTCCTGGCCAGCCAGCCCTCACCTCCCCGTGTCCTGCTCTCACAGGGCAGAGAGACGGGCAGCCAGGTAGTACAAGCTCAAGCTGTTGCACATGATGCAGCAGAGGTTGCAGAGGGAGGACAGAGCACGGTAGAGAGTGAGCTGCCGGGACAGCTGCCCATAGCTGGGGTTGGAGGCACGCAGCTGCCTGCAGGACTTGCTGGTAAACAGCCCGGCCTCCTCGCCCAGGCCGTGGCTGCGCTCGAGGAGGTGCATGTCTGCCACGATGTCGCAGGTGACCTGCCCGAACCACTGTGTGTTCAGCACCGAAGCGGCGATGCAAACGAAGAAAACGATGATCTGCAGGGGAGCAAAGCCCGCTGTGAACACCTCGCACGCGTGCTGGATTGCATTTCTCCCCCAGCCCCTCTTGCACACAAGGCTCACTGCAATCTGGATGCTAACGGGTGGACCTTGTCACCGTTTGCAAACCAGCCTCGGTGGAGCGGAGCAGGACCCCATGGAGGAAAGGATTTGGGCTACGGCTGGCTCACATTTGAAAGTGGGAGGCTACCTGGGCCGTTTGTTCATCACTGAGCAGCTCGCTGGGGTGGTGCATGGCAAATAGAGTCAGGTTGAGGAAGGCACAAGCGGAGCTGATGTGGGAGTAGTAGGGGAAGAGCTCGCGCTGGATGAGGCCATAGGTGTGGCGAGGGAGGCGGCTGCCCATCACGAACCCTGCAAGGGGGGAGAGCGGGTAGGTCCTGGGGCAAAGCCCCCTCCCCTGGGCAGAGAGCCCCAGCAGTGCTCACGGACCGCAACCTACCAGCCACGAAGGTCACCCAGATCTGCATTCCCCAGGAGGTGGAGAGGAAAACCAGGTGCAGCAGTTTGATGGTGTTGGAGGGCTCTGTGTCGGTCAGCATGGTGTCCTGGCCAGGGACGGGTCCTTCCATGGCAGCCAAGCCACCCCAAATTGGGCACTGAGCTGCTGTTACTGCCGTCACCTTGCTGGATGCTGGGCAAATGCAGTTTAACTTCACAAGCCCACTTATTCAGGAAGAGCTTTGGAGCTGGGAGCCCCAGCCCCTTCCAAACTCTGCCAGCATGCACCTGACCAGGCTGCAAACCTGATTTTCAGACCCCTAATATCTTAGGGGCAGGGCGCTACGTCAGCACCTGGTAACCAGCCGTTTTGGGTGGACTTTCAGCAAAGTCCAGCCAAAGCCCCAGCTGACCCCTGGCACCAGGAACAAGCAGAAAGTCAATAAAAAGGGGAAAAGGAAAAACCCTGACAAACACGCCTGCCCACACTGCGGGCATCAAAGAGGCCTCTTGGCCAGGGAGAAGTCCCCCAGCCTAAAACCAGCAACAGCTTCTGCACACTTTAGCCAAAAATCCTGGGGACTCAAAAGAAGTAAGGCTGGCTCCAGGGCTCACCTTGCTGCCCTGGACCCTGCACTGGCACAAGCATGAGAGCATGGGCAGTGGTGGGTGGAAGGAGGCTTTGAAGGAGCTGCCTGCGCTGCTACAAGGAGCGCTTTGGAAATTAATTAAAACAAAGCTTCTGGGAGCAGCCCATCAATTCTGCGGCCTGCTTCAGTCCTCTTCCTCCCTTCAGCCAGCTGCCTCAGGGCATGAATTACAGCGGGGATAGCCTTGAAAGAGACGCTGCCATCTAATTACATCCCGCTCCCCCTATAGAATAGATAAATATATATTGTGTTTTTATATATCCATTCCAATGTCTTTATTTAGGCATCTATAAAATCAGGTCCATGAAACGGTTTCATGATGGTACTAGAGAAGGTGCTCAGATCCCACCTGGCCTGTAAATCCCCAGCTGCCTTCGTGGCCTTTGCTTTGCCAAAAGCTTCTTGGCATTTCTGGGATGCTTCCCTGCTCCATCCTCCGGCAGCCGCTGCATGATGGCAGGGGCCCTGGGGAGGCTCCTGGGGTCCCAAATCTGCCTCTGCAAATCATTTGCCTCCGTGCAGGAATTAGCAGGAGAGAGCAGCAAGGCAGCTGGGTGCTTGAAGAAGCCGCAGGCGGGAGGGTTATTCAGAGCAGGGGGTAACACCCTGCCAGGATTTCTTGTTTTTTAAGGGAAAAAGGAAAATAGTAATTGATTGCTAAACTGGCCACAGAGCAGTGCGCTTGGTAGAGAGGGCAAACAGGAGGCTCTGGGAAAAGCTGCAAGAGCAGGCTGCTCCCTAGGGGCCCCAGTGCACCCGCTGGTGGGTCCCTCCTCCCTTGGAAGCTGGCTGTGGGATGAGGGGGTTGGAGATGGGAGCTCCAGAGATGCTCCAAGCTGCCCAGTCCTGCTCTCCACTGCTCCCCCATCATTCCCTCCAGCAGAAGATGCTGCAGGACTGCAGGGTTTTTTCCCACCTGCACACAAAACGTAAGATGCTTCACACCGTTGTGCTCCCATCCATTTCCCGTTGCCCTCGAGTTGCTCCCGCTCCATCACCCTGCACCCCCAGGGACCCAGCCAGGCCAGGGTGAGGGCTGACCGTGGCCTCACCGCAGGAAAAAGCACAATACTTAAAGAGAAGGGGAGGTCAGTTAAAGTTTAATGTTAGGGCAAAGACATCATTCCCTGCACTTAATCAAGCAGCAGCAATTTCTAACGATAAGTAGAAAGGACAGCTCGCATCCCGGTGATAAAAAGGCAGGATTGCTCCAAGTTTCAGGAGATAAGAGGGCTCTATAAAAACTGAATGTTTTGTACCATGTTCAGCTTAAGACGTCTTGATCTTGTAGTGATAGCGCAGCAGGGGGAGGTCGGGCCAGCACCGTGCCAGGCCTTACACGGAGATCTTTATGATCGGAGCTACGGCAGAGATTTGGAGCTTACGGGCGCTCTGGGGGTGGGAGCCGCTGGCTGGCCACTGTGGGAGAGGGGCAGGCAGCTCCTTCTGCTTATAAACTGGATGGGCAATTTGGGTGGCAAAGTGCCTTTCTAGGGACTGGGTGTTGCAGAGGTGAGGGGAAACACCCTGGGGTGCCTGGAAAAGACCCTGTGCTCATTTCTGATACCCCTCAGCCTCTTCTTACCCTGAGCACAGCATCGCCATCGCTTGCTTGTGGTTAAGCTCTGCCAAAAGGCTTAAGCTCTTGCTTGGGGTTAAGCACACGGGGGCTCTGCTAGCGAAAGCGAGGGCATGGCTGCCACTCCACGGCTCTGTGTGCCCAAGGGCTCCTGGGGCTCGTTCCGTTCCCAGCAGGCAGCAAGCCTTTCAGAAACCTCAATGCCATCAGAAAACCTCCAACTATGTAACCCAGGAAAGTCTGGGAGGTGGCTCTCAGCTGGCCTGTGGCTGAGGGCAGCCGTCCCCTGGGGTGTGACTGATGAGCAGCGCTTCCCACTGTCACTCATGCTGCATTTTGTGGCTTTCCTGGAGTATCTCAGTTTGGCTGCAAGGTCTTTGCAATGCTCCTAACCCCATCCTCTGCTGCTGCAGGCATCTGCGAAACAGCTCTGTGCTGCCATCAAAGCAGCTGGGGAGGGGGAAACACCCCTGGAGACACTCAGGTCATTAGTGCTTGGGGCAGTTAGGGATGGGTATCAGAGCCTTTGAGGCTCTGGGTTTCAGCATCTGCCTGCACCTACTCCCCATGTCCTCTGCAGCCTTGCTCAGACTTAGGGTTTGGCTTTCTTTTAGTTTTGCTTTTTCACTGTCCCTGAGGCAGTTTGAGGTTTACAGCTCAAGGTGTTGGTGCACCCAACGGATGGGGACAAGGGGCAGCCCCCTGGGTCTGCACCAGCTCACCCTGCCGCCCCTGCTGTGGTGGCAATATCTCTGGGCAGTCCCCAAAAGCCACTTGAATGGAGCACTGGCTGGCACCCCCCCTTCCTGCAGCACACACTCCTGCCTCAAAGGACCCCCGCGTCCGCCTGAAACCCGGGCAACAGCTCTCAGGGTGGGTGACCTGAGCGGCCCTGTCCCCCTCCTTGCCCTGGGAAATGGCACCTGCCTGGGGTGTGCTGCGGGTGCAGGACCCCCCACCCCACTATTGCCAGCCAGGCAGCCACACAGTGAACCCCTGGAGCAGACACTCACCCAAAGCACATGTGGGTATTTCTCCTTTAATGCACTTTAATGCTACTCCTTCCACAGCACCATGGGGTGGGATTTCAGCCTGGCAGGAGCAGGGGCTGTTTGCCAGCCCTGCCCGGGAAGAGGAGCAGCACCAGGCAGCTGTGGGGGGGAGTGGGATGCTCCACCAAGCC